ATGAAATCACCACCTCACAAGCTATTGAAGCCGTGTAGGTGATTTTACACTGACAATGTTGTGAAAACATTTAGGCAAGTATAAAGAACGAGAGGTACAGGCCCTATGGAAGACTATAATCATGTGCGAAAGAAGTCCAGTGCCTCTGAAGCTGGCCCTAGTGGCATTAAAAGAAGAAGGGGGTAACCCAGAAAAGGACTTGCTACTCAAAGTCTAATGGATGGGGATTCCCTTCTAATCAGTAAGAAGATTGCTCTCTCCTTCATCCCCCATCCCCCATTCACCAGATCTTCAATAGAGCGTAGTGTCTGTAAGTGTGCAGTGCCTTTTCAGTTTGTGTGTATTAACAATTAACATTTCATTGTTAAAAATTTTTTTTTTCATACTTTTGGGTGTCTTGCACGGATTAATTTTATTTCCATTATTTCTTATGGGGAAAATTCATTCACATAACGATTATTTCGCATAACAATTACCCCTCTTGCACGGATTAAAATCGTTAACCGGGGGTCCACTGTATATTGAGAGGTACTTGCTCCTTGTATTGTGTGCAACTTGTATGGTGTAAATACCAAGTACACAATGGTAAGTGTACAATGTACTGTACATGTTTTGTAAGTTGAGTAACTAAAAACATAAGAATAGTTGAAGAATTTGAAACATGTACAACATTTGGGAATCTTTATTAAGGAAATATTCCAACAGCCAGTGGATTCTTCGGTCCAATACAGAGTAGAGTGGGAAGATGAGTCGGAGTCTAAGTAATTAGTCCTCAAGCCTGGAGTCAATGTGTTCAGTTCATTCAAGATTAATGAAAGAATTACATCAACTCCAGTCTGAGGGACTTCATTGCCTCGTACTCCTTCATCTTTTACTCTGTTATCTCTGTAGTGGACTTGAAGAAGCACGGGATGTTGAATGTTTCCTCAATAAAGATTTCCAAATGTTGCACAAGCATCTCATTCTTCAAGTTATTGGGTTTCTAAACCATTTACATCACATAAGAACAGTAGTGTTCGGTTGTCTGGAGACTGACTGACTGACTCAGTGGGTGTTTATTCAACAACTGATTTTCAATTGGGAAATCGAACAGGTTTCAATCAGTTTTGTTGCAGTAGATCCCCAGCAGGTTGATAACCTCTGAGTGTGGAGTATCCAGGTCTGTGTGTAGTCACGCATCCTGACACCATGAATCACTCAACCAAGTACAATCACTGACATATCTGTTTCTGTATTCGCTCATATCTAGACTCACATATCAGCGCCAAGACAGCCTTCTCCTCATTTATAAGATGTACCTTGTTTACCCAACGTCTATGACTTCGACGGGGGGCTCTCTGATCAGTATGCATATCTAAATAATGTCATATTTAGAGCTGATTTCTCTATTCTGTTCATAACTCTTGGACGTCGAAACCCCTATTCCTGCAAGTGTCTCCTGGTGTCAAAAAATATTAAAAAAAAAAAAAAAAAAAAAAAAATCTTAGGAAAATGTTAAGATTATTTTTGTTATTTAGTCCCCCCCCCAAAAAAAAAAAACTGCCATCAGTACTTACTGAGATATAGAAGCCTGAAGTTGGAAGAAAATGAGCCGCAGATGGCAACAGCGGCGACTGCCGCTCACCCAGTAAATTTTGGTTTACTTGTATTCGAAGGTTTCTTGTTTTTTTTTTCACTATTTTATTTTTTTCACATAACTTGTGTAGCCTGTGAGACCAAAGTGTGGTGCAATGTTCATATATACATTTGTTGAATGGAACACAATTATAGCAAAAACACTAGTATCATCATATTGTTTACAAAACTTGTTTACACAAAGAATATAAAAAATTATTTATTACGATTGTTCTATAATATACAGTATATATATATGTACCATCACTGGACACTTTTCTAGAACTGCTGCAGCTTGTGGAATTCTTTGAAACATGGGTGTATGCACAATGGTGTTTTACACTCCTCACACATAAAATGAGTGTCTCTGCATTTTTGCGGGCGTTTTGTGGTATGCGCACAGACATAACACCTTTTCTGAGCATTTTTCTTGAAAGCAGAAGCAGGCAGAGGTATGGGGTAGTGATCACCAGGCCTCAGACGAGAGGGCATGTGTTGATAATTTCGTGGGCACTGGTCTACTGCAAGTGTTTCTCCTTGGTACTTGAATATTATTTGTCTGATAACTGACAAACAAAATTCACCATATTTAGGTTTATTGTTAGTCTTCAACTTATACATATTATAAGCATTCAGCATGGAAATGTCAAGAAGATGGAAAAAGAGTTTTATGTACCACTCATGCAAAACAGTTACAGGTTTTTGTTTCACAGTCATCTGGCAGGACTGTAGTACTTCCTGGGTGGGTTGGTAGACAGCAACACCCAGGAAGTATACCGTCACTGCCAGCATGACTGTGAGAAACAAAAACCTGTAAATGTTTTGCATGATGTAGGTTTGCTGTTTTTCTTTTCTGTCTCATAAACACGCTAGAATAACTAGGGATATCTCTTCCCTGCTTCTCCTACTTACAACTTGGTCACACTCACCAGACCGCTCTGCCTTATATATATATTCATACATCTAGGTTTTTATCCTTATTCTATATAGCTTCGTGTTCTGTTTTATTTCTTCTATTGTCCATGGGGAAGAAGGAAAAGTTATCTTTCCTCTGTAAAGCCATGCGGGTCGTATGGGCGACTAAAGACTGCCGGTCGAGCAATGGGTAGTAACCCTTCTCCTGTATAATTTACTAAAAAAGAGAGAAGAAATACTTATGAAACTGGGTTGTTTAAATGTGGTGGATGTAGTGCGGATGACAAGAAAAAAATAAAAAACAGGATTTTTTTTTGATTGCTGATGTTATGAATGAAAAGAAGTGGATGTCCTGGCTCTCAAGCGGAAAAAATACAATAGCTGGAAGGGGGGGTAGGAGAGTTTCGTGGGGGAATAAATAGGGATTAAATCTGGAGTATCTGAGAGAGTTAGAGCAAAGAAGGGGTAGCAGTAATGTTAACATGATCAGTTATGGAAGGAGGGAAAAGAGAATATGAATGTGTAAATTCGACGAATTTGTGGTTAAAGTAAAGGTTGCATGCGAGAAAGTGGGTCATAATAAGCGTGGTAGGGTGTGGGGGGGCGGAAATGACGGTGTTATGCACCTGGAGAAGAGAGAATGCATGGTAGTGCAAAATTATCTAATATCTTACATTATAAATACAAATCCTCTGATGAGAGATGTTGTTAGTATGATGAGAATGAGGAGACCATATACAGTCTGGTAGAGATAGTAACAGTCTGGGTTATCAGCAATGTTCTCACTTATCATACTACATTACCAATCACACTGTAGTATTCTGTAAAATATCAATCATAATCTTAATTTCTAATAGTACAATATATATAATTGCTATAGTATACTTGTCAATACGCGACATACATTATAATTATGCCCAAGTTATGCAGGGTATTATGAGGTCAGTATTGAAAATACTTATAACTACTGAACAATGACACTGAACATAACAATTTGGTTTTTAATTAAACATTTTGGAATTTTTGTTCATACAATTTGGCAGAACATTTGCATGGAGTATGTTGAAGCAGATCATATTTTTGTTGTCATATACATGGTCCTCGATTATCAACGGTAATCCGTTCTGGAAAGCTGGTCGATTATCGAATTGGTTGATTTACGATCAATTTTCCCCATAAGAAATATTGTAAATTATTAATCCGTTCCTGACACCCAGAAGTATTAACAAAAAATTTTTTTACGATGAATATTCATGTGTACAAAACAATACAATGAGAAATGATGAATGAAACATTATCAGAATAACATTTCCTTTATTGGAGGATTCTTCTTAGTGTATGGGGAGACTGGAGGAGGAGGAGAGAGTGGATTGTTTATCGTTTGAGAAGGGGAATCCACTTCAGCTACCCTCAGGTACATATGCTTTTATGGGGTTGCTTCTTTTCTTGTTTCTTTAATGCACTAGACCAGCTTGAGAGTACTGGAGTCCTGTCTCGCCTAAATAACTGTGCAAGAGAGCTCATGTTTCTGGAGTCTCTTAAAAACTTACCTAAATGGTGCCAAGACTTGTCCACTGTACAGTTGCCGATATGCTTGCAACATCCGTTCTGGGTGATTGTTTCTCCATAAATCTTTCAATCTTAATCCCTTACATCAGGTAAAAATCTCCTTAATTTATGATGATGGCCCTTCTTCCCATCTCTCAATCCTCCCTCCTCTGCTGCATGATTTCTTGAGCATGCGATACTGTTGCTCTTCCCTGCTGAAGATCTTGCAGCTCCTCAGTGGTTAGGTCTTCAGTTGTGGTCTCACCAACTCTTCACATCCTCCAATACTCAATACCAACCCCATGGAATTCCCCAGTGCCCAATATAAAGTTCAAAATTGACTAGGCTCTTCAGGGTCAGCCCCAAATCCTTCCCAAATCCCTCTTGTCAACACAATCTTGGCCACAATTTTCTCCAGCAGAGTTCAAAGTCCTGTAGACACTCCCTCCCAAGCCTTACCTCGTCCCAAGGATCTGCCTGCAAAACCCAACCCCTCCCCCGATATAATGAAATGTTCTTTACCAAAAATCTGTAGGGTCAAGTGAGTGTTGAGGTCCACATTGAGCACCTTTCAAACATTGCTTTGGTGTTACGTGCTTTTAATGTTTGCAATACCTGTGGTCATGGGTTGGAGGAGAGGTGTGGTATTCGGGGGCCAGAACTTTAACTGAGATGAACCCATACTCCTTCTGAAATTAGGTCATCAAGTTTGGTGGATGAGCAGGGCATTGTCCATTACTAGCCAGGCACTTGAGATCCAATTTCTTTCCAGGAGGTAATTCTTCACATAGGGCCAACACTTCGTTGAACCACTCTACAAAAATTTCCCTCGTGACCCATGCCTTATATTAGATTTCCAAAAAACACACCAATTTACTCTTCATAACATATTTTTCTTAAATGCTCTGGGATTTTCAGAACGGTTACTCTTGTAACGGCTTCCACTTGAAATCCCCTAGCATTAGCTCTGATACATTAGCGTAGCCTGTTTCATTAGGATTGTGTCCTGGCTTTGACTTTTTCCTCTTGAGTAATGAAGGTCTCTTGGCTTTCTTCCAGAAAGAGGCTGTTTCGTCACAAATTGAAACACTTGTTCCAGGTTTCAGTCCTTCAGCCTCTATGTACTCTGGAATTCGATAGCACATATTTTCAGCCGCCTTGTGGTCCAGAAACTGGCAGCCTCACCAAGCCTTACCACACTGTGTATGCCAGTACGCTTCTTAAATCTCTCAAACCAGCCTTTGCTGGCCTTAAAATCACTCTCGTCACCACTATTTGCAAGGCTATTTATTTACAAAATCTTCATGCTACCATGGCCTAGCACTTTTCACAAATAATCGAGGTCATAAGACTGTCTCCTGCTAATTGTTTCTCATTTATCCACACCAATACTAACTCTCAACCCCTCTTCCAGTATGGTGATCTCATTTTGTCAGCATATTTACCCCCTTTGCAACAACAGCGTCCTTGATTTCCTTTTTCATGGCTATGATGGAAGATATGGTTGAATGATTTTTATTATACATCCTCGCCTGTTTGCCAACCAAGTTCGCCACTATCATGATTGTTCAATGATGTTTTTCTTAAATTTCAATGGTATTTCTACCTTCTTTACCAAAGTTTGGCCTAGAGAGCTTTCTTGGAGCCATGGTAGCTTATTTAGCACTTAAATAACTTGCAAAGCACTAAAAATATATGAAAATATTATGAAATATTTCACTGGAGCACGTGGTGAGAAGACCGCCGCTCCGAGCAGTATAACTGGATAAACAATGGCACACTGGATGGGGAAGGAGGCTGAGGCCGGGTCGAGGCTCCGCCTTACCTCTTGCATACGCGGTCTGGACGACGGGTCGAGTCGGGTCGATAAACGAATTTGGTCAATTTCCGATCAATATTTGGTCGAAAAAACCGGTTGATTTCCGAAATGGTCGACGTTCAGGCCGGTAGATTATTGAGGGACACTGTATTTAGATGTGGAACCCTGAATTTTGTCGGATGTGGATTATCATTCATTGGGATTTGGACCACTTGTTTTGGCTTGTGAAATTTTTATTCTGGTTCTATACCTCCACTTGGAATTCGTCCATATAGATGAGTTCCCACCCGCCCAGACATTAGTCTGCTAACATGTACATGACTCAATCCGCCTATGTGGGAAGTAGTGATTGGGTGGCAGAGGGCGGTGGATAGTGATGGTGGTGGAGGGTGGTAGCGATGGAGTAGAGGGTGGTAGTGGGGATTGGTGTAGAGCGGTGGTACATGATGGTGGTAGAGGGTGGTAGTGATGGTGGTAGAGGGAGGTAGTGATGGTGGTAGAGAGCTGTAGTGATGGTGGTAGAGGTGGATGTGATGGTCGGTACAGAGGTGGTGGGTGTTGGTGGTAGGTGGCGTGGTGTGTTGGAGGTAGAGGGCAGTAGTGATGGTGGTTGGTAGAGGGGGGTAGTGATGGTGGTAGTGGTCAGTAGTGATGGTGGGGAGGGTGGTAGTGATGGAGGTAGAGGTCAGTGGGTGGATGGTGGTAGGGGTGGTGGTGATGAGTGGTACGGGGTGTAGTGATGGTGGTAGAGGGGCTGTAGTGATGGTGGTTAGAGGTGGTGGTAGTGATGGTGGTAGAGGGTGTAGTGATGGTGGTGAGGGTGGTAGAGGGTGTTAGTGATGGTGGTAGAGGGTGGTAGTGATGGAGGGCAGTAGTGATGGTGGTAGAGGGGTGGATAGTGATGGTTGGTATAGGGTGGTAGTGATGGACGGTTGAGGCGTAGTGATGGTGGTAGGAGGGTGTTAGTGTGGTCGGTAGGGAGGGTAGTGATGGTGGTAGATGGTTGGTAATGTTGGTGGTAGTGGGTGGTAGTGATGGTGGTAGAGGGTGGATAGTGATGGAGGTAGAGGACAGCAGTGATGTGGGTAGAGGGGTGGTAGTGATGGTGGTAGAGTGTGAGCAGTGATGGTGGTAGAGGGAGGTAGTGATGGAGGTAGTGGGCGTATTGTGGTGGGTAGGAGGGTCGGGAGTGATGGTGGTAGAGGGTGGTAGTTGATGGAGGTGTGGGCAGTAGTGATGGTGGTAGAGGGTAGGTAGTGATGGTGGTAGTAGAGGGTGGTAGTGATGGTGGTAGAAGGGTTGTGGTAGTGAGGTGGTAGAGGGAAGGTAGTGAATGGAGGAGAGGGCAGTTAGTGTGGGGTAGAGGGTGGTAGTGATGGTGCTAGTGGGGTGGTAGTGATAGTGTAGTGATGGTGGTTGTGGGGTGGTAGTGATGGTGTAGAGGGTTGGGTAGTGATGGTTGGTAGAGTGGTGGATAGTGATGGTGGTAGAGGGTGGTAGTGATGGTGGTAGAGGGTGGTGGCTAGTGGTAGGCAGTAGTGATGGTGGTAGAGGGTGGTAGTGATGTTGGTAGAGGGTGGTAGTGATGGTGGTAGAGGGTGGTAGTGATGTTGGTAGATGGGGTTAGTGATGGTGGTAGATAATGGTAGTGTGTGTAGAGGGTGTAGTGATGTGGTAGAGGTGGTAGTGATAGTGGTAGAGGTTGGTAGTGATGGTGTAGAGGGTGGTAGTGATTGGTGGTAGTGGTTGTGTGATGGTGGTAGAGGGTGGTAGGATGGTGGTGAGTTGGTGTGATGGTGGTAGAGGGTGGTAGTGATGGTGGTTATAGAGGGTGGTAGTGATGTGGTACGAGGAGTGGTAGTGTGGTCGGTAGAGGGTGGTAGTGATGGTGGTAGAGGGTGTAGTGAGGGTGTAGAGTTAGTAGTGATTGTGGTTAGCGGGGCCAGTTGTGATGGTGGTGGAGGTTGGTATTTTGATGCGTGGAAGTGTGGTAGTGATGGTGCGTAGAGGGTGGTAGTGATGGTGGTTAGTGCTGATAGTGATGGTGGTATTGTGGGTGGTATGTGATGGGTGGTAGAGGGTGGTAGAGATTGGGTTAGAGGGTGGTAGTGATGTTTGGTAGAGAGTGGTAGTGTTGGTGGTAGAGGGTGTAGTGATGGTGGTAGAGGGGTGTAGTGGTTATGATAGTGGTAGAGAGTGGTAGTGATGTGTTAGAGGGTGGTAGTGATGGTGGTAGAGCGGTGGTAGTGGATGGTGGTAGAGGGTGGTAGTGATGGTGGTACATGGTGGTAGAGGGTGGTAGTGGTTTGTGGTTGGTTGGTAGAGGGATGTGGTAGTGATGGTGGTTACGGAGGGTGGTAGTGGTTGTGGTGGTGGTATTAGAGGTGGTGTGATGGTGGAAGAGAGTGGTAATGATGGTGGTAGAGGGACGTAGTGATGGTGGTGGAGGGTGGTAGTTGATGGTGGTGGAGGGGGTATAGTGATGGTGGTGGGGGTGGTAGTGATGGTGGTAGAGGGTGGTTAGTGATGATGGTAGAGGGTGGTTGTGATGGTGGTAGAGGGTGGTAGTGACGGGGGTACGGGGGGGGGGGGGGGGGAAGGGTGGTAGTGATGGTGGGTAGAGTGGTGATGGTGTGATAGAGGGTGGTAGTGATGTGGTAGAGAGTGGTAGTTAGTGATGGGGTTAGAGGGTGGTAAGTGATGGTTGGTACAGGGTGGAAGTGATGTTGGTAGAGAGAGTGGTATACAGTGGTAGAGACGATAGTGATGGTGGTTTAGAGGGTGGAAGTGATGGTGGTAGAGGGTGGTAGTGATGGTGGTAGAGTGGATAGTGATGGTAGTAGAGGGCCAGTAGTGATGGTGGTGGAGAGGTGTTGTGATGGTTGGTGTGAGTGTGGTAGTGATGGTGGTGGAGTGTGGTAGTGATGGTGGTAGAGGGGTTGTAGGTGATGTGGTAGATGGTTGTTAGTGATGGTGGCTAGAGGAGTGGTAGTGTTGGTGGTTGAGGGTGGTAGTGATGGTGGTAGAGGGTGGTAGTGATGGTGGTAGTGGGTGTGTAGTGATGGTGGTAGAGGGTGGGAGTGGATGGTTGTAGAGGGTTGTAGTGATGGTAGGTAGCGGGTGGTAGTGGTTATGATTGTGGTAGAAGTGGTGTGATGGTGGTTATAGAGCGGTGGTTATGATGGTGGAAGAGAGTGCGTAGTGATGGTGGTAAGAGGGTGGTAGTTTTTTGTTTGAGGGTGTTATATGATGGTGGTAGAGGGTGGTAGTGATGGTTGTTAGAGGGTGGTAGTGGTTGTGCGTGGTGGTAGTTATGGTGGGAAGAGAGTGGTATTGATGGAGGTAGAGGGCAGTAGTGATGGTGGTGGAGGGTGGTAGGGTTGGTGGTGGAGGGTGTAGTGATTGTAGTGAGGTGTAGTGATGGGGGTAGAGAGTTGTTATACAGTGGTATAAGGAGGGTGATAGTGATGGTGGTAGAGGGTGGTAGTGGTTGTGGGTGGTAGAGGATGGTAGTGATGGTGGTAGAGGGTGGTAGTGTGGTAGTATTGAGGTGGTAGTTGATTAGTAGAGGGTGGAAGAGAGTGGTATACAGTGGTAGTAGAGGGTGATAGTGATGGTGGTATGTTTGGGTGGTAGTGAGGGTGGAAGAGGGTGGTAGTGATGCGGTTAGAGGGTGGTAGTGGTTATGATGGTGGTAGAGAGCGGTAGGGATGGTGGAGGTGGTGGAAGGTGGTAGAGAGTGGTAGTGATGGTGGTGGACGGTGGGTAGTAGTTGTGATGGTGTAGAGGGTGGTTAATGATTGTGGTTCGAGGGTGATAGTGAGGTGGTTGTAGAGGGTGATAGTGATGGTGGTAGAGGGTGAAGGGTGGGTAGTGATGGGTGGTTAGAGGATGAAGTGTTGGTGGTACAGAGTGGTATACAGTAGCAGAGGGTGACAGTGATGGTGTTAGAGGGTGGCTATAGTGATGGTGGTAGAGGGTGGTAGTGATGGTGTAGAGGGTGATAGTGATGATGGTAGAGGGTGGTTGTGTGGTGGTAGAGGGTGTTAGTGATGGTGGTATGGTAAAGGGAGGTTGTGTTGGTGGTAGAGGGTTGTAGTGATAGTTGGTAGAGGGTGGTAGTGATGGTGGTAGAGGCTTGACAGTGATTGGTTGGTAGAGGGTGGACTAGTGATGATGGGTTGAGGCGGTGACAGTGTTGGTGGTAGGGAGTGATCTCTGTTGGTCGGTAGAGGGTGAAGTGATGGAGGTAGAGGGTGACAGTGATGGTGGTAGAGGGTGGTAGTGATGGTGGTAGAAGTGACCCCAATGATGGTGGTAGAGGGGTTAGTGATGGTG